ATTTTGTCTCCCCCCTCTTTTTTAAATACACCTCCCTCTCTAATAATCATACATTTCAATTACTTTTTTTTCTTCTCTAAACTACCCTTTGATTTAATTTCTATTCTCTAATTTTCAAAATTTACAAATCCCTCTAAAAAGTATAAAAAAAATAATTCTAGAAATTATTTTTGAAACATTAAATTTGTTGTTACAAAAAATACTTTTCAAAAGTATTTATCAAATATAGAAAAAAAACATTTTTTTAAAGTACTTTTTAAAATAAATCTTCAAATTGTATTTACCAATGTAACATAGTTAGTAGACTGGAACGGGACGTTCCAAACAACTAAAACAAGGGTGATTTAGTAGCCCAAAACGAGTTGTTTCCAAACTGGAACGGGTCATTCCAAACTACTAAATAGGCCTATAAATTATAGTTGAGAACGGGTCGTTCCAAACTTGGTCATTTTGAGTTAAATGCAACCCCAAAACAAGCCGTTCAGCATGTGGATTTTTCACATGAAGAAATAGTGCAGAACGGGCCGTTCCGGATCTGAAACGGACCATTCTGGCCACTCCTCAACTTTTATAAATTGGTCTCATGCATGCAGTTGAGGAGAAAAGAATGGGAACTTAGAGAGAGGTTTTAGAGAGAAGGACTCAGGGCTAGGAAGCTTGATTTTGAAAGATTGAAGTTCGGGAGTCGAACTCGGAGGAAACTTTTTCTTCTTCCCAAATTCTTGACTGTTCGGAGCCAATCTTTAGGTAAGGGAAGCTAGAATGTAGGTTGTTTGATTTCATGGGAGTTTAGGAACTCCATTGATGCATGAATTTCGAAAATAAGTGGTTGAATTGAAGAAATTCCTCATTTTTTGGGGTTTTGGGAAAAAATGGAGTTTTTGATGATTTTGATGTGTTGATTTGTTGCATGTTGAATCTGAGCTCATTTTTGAGTTGTATGAAGCTTATATCTTGCGTAATTGATAGAATTAAGTTGTTTACATGTTGTTAAAGTTGTATAGTTGTATAGTTGAATAGAAAGTTGTCAAGTTGATATGTGATGTCTATTGTTGAAAGTTATTTTTAAGTTGTAAGTTACCTTAAAGTTGTTCAGTTGCTCTAAAGTTGTTGAAGTTGATATTTTGATGACTATAGTTGCCTGTTGTTGTAAAGTTGTAAAGTTGACTGTTGTTGTAAAGTTGTAAAGTTGCCTGTTGTTGTAAAGTTGTAAAGTTGTCTGTTGTTGTAAAGTTGTAAAGTTGTCTGTTGTTGTAAAGTTGAAAAGTTGGCGACATATGGTGAAGATATATGTCCTATGTTGAGAAACATAGTACTAATGTTATAAGTTGAAAGTTGTTTTAAAGTTGAATCCCTTAGTATTGTGTGGGCGACGTGGAAGTAGTCGATCCATGTCATGGTTGAATGACCAAATTGAGTAAGGTATCTAGTTAGAGATGTAGTCTTTGACTATGTATTAGAGGGTGCGTGGTACTTGGAGGGCAGTGGGTGGACTAACCCCATATGTGGGTTGATTATGCAGACCAAGGCCGTGGTAAGTTCATACCCAAATCCTTCTGCCTGACAGTAGTACTGGACCTCCTAGTTTAAGTGGCACATTTGAGCAATTCCCTATTGTTGTCTATACCTGATTCTCTTCAAAGTTCCTAACGATGCCCTATACTTGACCTGGTTAAGATAGGTCAAATATTGGATTCGGTAAGGTTTATGTCACCTAGACTGCTCAACCTTAGTTGTTAGAGATCTTCTAGTTGTATATGCGTGACGACGCATTAGTTGAAAGTTGTATGTGTTGTTGTACTCATGTTGCATATAAGTTGTATGAACGAGTTGATAGTTGAGCTTTTATGTTGAATTATGTGGTTGTGTTGTGATGATGAGTTGTTAATCACTAGGACTAGATGAGAAGTTTTTGAAGTTGCTCATCCCATTGTGCGGATTGAGATAGTTGTGGTGCTCTGAGAGCCCAATTTGTTTAAAAACCCTCATCGAAAAGTTGTCCCTTGGAGTGGATGATGTCTTGTTCTCCTATAAGACTTGGTTGGTCCCGTGTGTGGGCAAGGTCGAGACACACGTGTATGATGCAACTACGGTATAGAAGTCAGGCCGAATTATACCGATTACAAGCAGCCAATTTGAGTAAAGTATGATATGTTGAAAATGTTGTTGCTATTAGATGATGTTGTATGCTTATTGTTGTATGTTGTTGAAGTTGTTTATAAGGTTGTAAAGTCGCTAAGTTGCCTAATGAAGATAAGTTGAGTAGTTGTTGGCTTAAGTTATTTATATGTTGTGTATTTCATGCAACTAAGTTGTTTACCTGTTGTCTATTATTGAATTAGTAAGTAGTTGAGATGTATAAGTTGAAAGTAAAATTTTATTACTGTTTATTATATGTTGATGCTATTATTATGAGTTGTTTATTGTCTCTAGCTTACTCTTGCATGTTTCCATGTGATTTGGACTGCGCTGATTATACGATGTATGGGAGCAGGGCAATGATAGGCTGAGAGATGGTTGCTAGAGGCCACATGAGGTGTTTGGATTTTGACTTTTTTGTAGGTTACTTTATAGTAGCGTATTTTATCGTACACAGCTGGTTGCTGTTGGTTGCTTGATCAACAACTTGTGTTGTATATATTTTATTATACTATTTTGGTATATATATTTCAGTAGTGTGTAGTGTTATTCCGTAGTGTGATGGTCATGGCAGGTTGTTACACTTAAGTTACCATTTTATATAATTATTATCTTTTATGTATAAGTCGTACCTTATTTTTAATTAAAAAGAACAATAAAGATGAAGTGAAAAATTAGAGTTTAAAAAATGATAAAATTGAGAGTGAAAAATTAGAATTTAAAAAGTATATGTATAAGATATGAATATATTTCTTATGGAAAAGATTAATCAAGTACTAAAAAGTAAAAAAGAAAAAACTTAAGAAAGGATGATCATAGAGAAATGGATTGGAAGAAAAAAATGGGGGAAGGAAGGGGTCAATGAAAAAAATAATTTTACAAAAAAAAGTTTTATTTTTAAAAAATAATTAAAAGGGTATTTTGAGATTTTTTTGGGAAAAAATACAAAAAAGGAGGGGTATTTATAAAAAATAAGATGTGTATAAATTAGTTGCCTATTATTTTAGTTTTTGATCAAGAGTATGGTCTCTTATGTACGACAAAAACATGTTACTAAAAAAGACTTAAAGGAACTAAATAGTTAAAAGTAACAAATAGTATGTTATGTCCTTAAAAAAATAAATAATTTGTTGTTATATCATCATATTTCTTATAATATTTGGATAAAAATGTGCTTTTTCATAGTTGTTACGAGATTAAAGTTTTTATTCTTGTGCACAGGAATGTATTTATGTAGAAGAGAGTGGGGGCACATGCCCCACTACCATTTTACACAAATATTTTTTTTAGTTAAAAAAATAATATATTTTTTAAAATAAAAATTATATTTTAATAAAATAAACATATATATTTAAATTATCTTATTATAAAATATAAATTTTAAAAAATTATCCATTTATTTGATATTTATCATATTTTCGAAGGAGATTAGTTCTCATATGTGATAAAAAAAATGTCTTAATAACGAATTAATTTTTTTAAAAAGTTTAACTTTTGATAAAATAAAATTTGCACCATATATTTATCTTTTGTGCTTTTTATTTATGTATACGTAGATTA